TAGTCAATCACTGTAGGCTCATCTAGGTTTTATCCTCTATATTATATAGTACTATTTTAGCCCGTTTGCACTAAAATTATAATTAATTTTTCTTTTTTTTTTTTATCAACTACATATTTTTCAATACAATAATATTACATGTAATTCAAAACTTTTTGTTCTTTTTTAATCATCGGATCATGATAGAATACAAAAGGTTTCGATCTTTAAATCTAAGGTTGAATTCTTTAAAATTTTGATGTAATTGACCTTCGATTCCTTACAAATGCTTGATCAACTCTTTCAAAATATAATAATTGACCCCTTATTTTTGATGAATTTGATGATAATATTTGTATGACGAGGTAAGAGATTTTTTTTTCAATGCGTAGCACTCGTTCTCTATTTATAAGAGTCAGAAAATATGTCAAAATCGCGTTTAATTTGGGTTCAAAAAGAGTTTGAATTGCAAAAGAAAACTGATGATTCATTTGTGAAAATGATAAAGAAAACGTGCCCTTATTAACTCCCATTTTCACTTAGACCGTTGCAAGAGGATCATTTCGAAGAATTTGCCAATGATATGCGTAATTTATTGGATTTTCAATTTAGTGATTTTGTCTCCAACTATTGACAAAGTGAACAAATTTGAGTGCAATCCATCTTCATAAACAAAATGAATTGTTGATAAATTAAGGGTAATTTTGAAATGAGTAAGCATCAAACAACTGCATCAATATTCATAATCTACAGAATTACATAAACATAAAATATAGATAAAACATACGGATCGAAAGAAATATATAGATAAAACGTCTAGATCACAGAGAGACCCTTCTTCCATATTAGATTTTTTAAAAATATAATAACAACGGAAATTAAATATTATAGAGTTCAATTCTCGCTCTCAACTCGTTAATCCATGACTGATACGAGTTCCGAGCTTCCTTCATACTTCCAGGAGCTTCAACGATCACGCAGTTTGCGAAAGTAATCTCTAGGATTCCCCTCAAATTCGTCCCTAGGAATTTTGTAAGGTGGTCTACCTGGGGCTTTCATCATCTTCTTTTTCTTCTCATCATTTTTTGGTCCCGGCTCCGGATCCGAGTGATTGGCTAGCTTCCATAAGCCACGCGCCACCAAGGCCACACCTGCTGCTACACCACCCGCTGCAGCTGCCGCTCCCAAGAAAGCTGTACAAGGCCACACCTGCTGCTACACCAACCGCCGCAGCTGCAGCTCCCAAGATAGATGTTCCATTATTTTCCTCCTTCTTGATCGGCATGTTAGGTGATGGCGCCGCCGGGTCCATGGATAGAATCCATTTGCCCCTTGGCCTCGAGTCAGACCCGGCAATGGCTTCTGCCATGACATCGTTTACAGATTTCTCCTTCTTTTTCTCCTCCATTTTTGTTTTGAAGGAATTGTTCTGTTGATTTCCACTGGAACTCATGGTGCATTTCATGTATGATCAAATGATACAATACAAGCTTTATATAAGCAAATTTCGATAAAACAAATTAATTACTTATCCAATCACTGAGCTACACATGTACGAAGTTATCCTGTTACACTTTTTTACTTTGGAAAAATTGGTTCTGTGGTCGATGATAAAAATTAATTTTTTAATAAATTTTGATAAAAATTAATGAAGTACGTATGGTTGAAAAATGATGGATCTCACAAAATTAATTAATTGTTTATTTTGATTTAAGTTAAAATTTTAAGAGCTTAATATTTTAGTAGCAAGTCTGTCTCTGTCTTCGATCTTTCTTAATAGCTGCACAATTTATATTTAATAATGAAAAGTTCTTTTGAACATCTCTTTTATTTAGTCAAAATAGCTAATTAAAATTTAAGTTAGAGTCAACAATTTATTTTAATTATACATTTCAAACCATAATTACATTCGCTTTTATTAAAATCTACTAAAAATATGATTTTTAACAAAATCAAACAGGGTTAAGATTGTTTTGTAATGTTCATAAATATATGAAACGCTTCAAATTTTGAATATTAATTGGAGTTTATAGAATTGAACATATTAAAATTTTAAACTCTTTTTATTAAAAGGATTGTAACTATAAAATAAAATGTAATGTGCCTTGACTCACAACGTAGACTTGCTCCACTGTCCACCGACTCTTTGTTTTGCTGTTTAAGGAATCTCAAATTTCCCATAAATAATATTGACGACGACTTTGCCATTTGTACCCTCAATTTGTACGTAATTGTTTCAAAAAATTGTATTTTTTTAGGATCATACTACATGTATCGAATTTATTTTTACCTAATCTCTTATCGACTAATCACAATAGGAGAGTGAGGACCACATCTTGAGATTTTTTTTAATTAACGCGGGCCTGTGTGCATGTGAGAGGGGGTTCGATAGATGAATTATTTACAAATATCTTTACCTTTTTTTTTATTTTGAAAGAGATAAGGTTATATGCTATTGTGTAAACAAGTGGGTGTACGTGCACCAAATATGATTCGACTCGCAACTCCACTTTATTCCAGTCACTGTCGTCATACAATTTTTTTTGAAAGCTTTGAGAAAATAAAGTAAAATAGAGCAACCTTATGTGTACGGATCCAATAGATGAATCTTTGTAGGACCCATCATGAATGAGTGTTTTGCATGAAGATTATATGCTTGTTTTTCAAAGTACTGAGTTTGTTTCTATGCTGCAGTAAAAATCCTATAAAATAATACTGTTACTTTTGAAATTACTGAGGATCAATTATAGAGCATTTTCAAGAAAATCTTTAAATATAATATACTCTCTATTTTAAAGAGTCAATCTTTAAAATCATGCTTCAATAATCAAATTCACTCTCTATAATTAAATTGTATTCAAAGTGTTTCAATTTTCAATATAAGAAAATAAAAAAATAATTTAAAGAAAAGATTGTTAAAATAAAAGATAAAGAAAAATAATAAATATTGTTTAAGAGTAATAAAAATTAAGTGTTAAATATAAAGTGCTTGTTGGAGTATTTCAAAATTTGTGTAATATTATTTTATTTGGAGAATGTCAAACAATCTTATAAAATATGCTCTTTAAAAATAAAGAGTTTCTTGAAAATACTCGTAAAAGATGGCCACGTGAATTGCCTAGTCAATCACTGTAGGCTCATCTAGGTTTTATCATCTATATTATATAGTACTATTTTAGCCAATGTTTACATTAAAATTATAATTAATTTTTCTTTTTTTTATCAACTACATATTTTTCAATACAATAATATTACATGTAATTCAGAACTTTTTGTTCTTTTTTAATCATCGGATCATGATAGAATACAAAAGGTTTCGATCTTTAAATCTAAGGTTGAATTCTTCAAAATTTTGATGTAATTGACCTTCAATTCATTGCAAATGCTTGATCAACTCTTTCAAAAAATAGTAATTGACCCCTTATTTTTGATGAATTTGATGATAATATTTGTATGAAGAGGTAAGAGATTTTTTTTTTCAATGTGTAGCACTCGTTCTCTATTTATAAGAATCAGAAAACATGTCAAAATCGCGTTTAATTTGGATTCAAAAAGAGTTTGAATTGCAAAAGAAAACTGATGATTCATTTGTGAAAATGGTTTGCACGCGCACAGGCATATCTACAGCGCGTGCACCTAGAGCTAAATGGCTCTCGAGTTGGGGAAAATAGGGTATCGTGTGCTGGTTCTCTTCGATTCATCCATGAGCAGGTTTAAGTATTTTGGCTATAACTTTCTCTACAAATATTCGATTGAGGTGATTAAAAATACGTTGGGGATATAACTCAAAGGGCTGCAATTCTTCTAGAAATACAATATTTTAATTAGAACGCTTACTATCCAAAAAAATAGGTCTCAATTTGAGGCAAAAAATCCGGAGTATAATTTTTTCGCCTGAAAATTGATTTGTGAAAATGCTTTTCTCATTTGACCTCCAATTGCATCCAATTGATCCTATATGATCTTCAATCATCGTTTTGTGTTCCGAATCAACTTTTGAATATTAACGCTTTGGTCCACAAACTTTGAATTTATTTCCCTTTTGCCATTTTTCGTTCATTTCTTCTAATTCCACCAATTTTCATTGAGAGTTCAACCTAACAAACCTAATTAACACATAATTAAGTTATAATTCATCCAAATCACCATCAAATACTGTAATTTAATGGTCTATAAGTATAAAAAATACACTTACCAGTAGATTACCAAGTTATGTAGCCTAAAGCGGGTTGTGCCTAGTCAATCACTTTAACTTCGTAATGTTACATATAATTATTAGTGTTTAATATGAACTTGCTCGACGTAATGATTTAAGCCCCTATTTGGTTTGGTTAAAAGTCTAAACTAAAATCTAAATCATGATCAACAATTAATTTTAATCACATATTTTATAAGATCCACAACTTTTCAATCACACATTTCATTGACTTTTATTAAAATTTTCTAAAATTTTATTTGATTTTTATCTAAACCAAACATGAGCTAAATGATGAAAGCAAAATGTTATATAATTTAAAGATTGACTCAAAAGTAGGCATGATACATTTAAAAATATAATCCTCAATTAAATAGGGAAAATTTTACATAAAAACTAACTTTAAACTCGTCAACATTACGTTCGAGGGTAAGAAATATTGTAGGCATCATCCATTTAAAAAAAAATATCTAATTATATTAGTAAGTTGCGTTTTAGTTTCAATTTAATCACTCGATCCAAATGTTGGCCTGGAGGTGGTCGACACACGGTGCATTTTGCTACCATTAGAACCAAGTGACGAAGCTTACAAGAAATTCCCCTAGAATAATTGTAATTTATGTAGCTTGACCAAGAAAGTAGACTTGAAATCTTTGTGGAGAAGAAACGTATTTAATAATACTCTAAAAGGGTCCCAAAAATTGACCGTCTTTTGGAAAAGTTATCCCAAATTTCCATAAAATTCCTAACCCTAATTGCATTTAATTAGTGGTTCTTTCGTCTCCAAAACATCAAAGCACTTCGACACACGCTACAACCTAGAGAAATGGGTGTGAATGAAGTGATGAACTTCATTGTAGGAAAGTTGAAGGAATTTCTACTGGCAATGGAAAATTTTGGTGGCGAAGTGGTGGATTGGTTTGACAAGGTGTTTCCACCGGAGACAAGAGGCGATAAGATCCACCACTGGCTCCATGTCGCCATCCCGTTCCTCATTATGGCGGTGGCATTGATCTTGTTCATCTGGATCTGCCGTTGCTGCTGCCGTTGGTGCTGTAGTGGCCGCGGCTCAGGAGGAGGGAAGATGATGAAAGCGCCGGGGAGGAATTTTAGGATGCAGAGAAGCGTGTTTGAGAACGATCCCAAAGGCTATTTCTGGAATCTTAGAGCTCATCCTGGTGATGAACTTTGCTAAAATTTAGCTATGATTTTCTGGTAATGTTGTTTGATCAAAAAATGGTATTACAATGTATGAATCTATGTTATTAAGAATTGGACCGGAGTAGCCGGTTCAAAATCCCCCTTTCGTTATTTGCTTGTTTGTGTATTTTGCTATCGTATAAATATGTGGAATTGTGCTTTGATTTTTTCATCACCGAATGCAACTCTTTGTTAGTATTACTTGTCAATAATTTCTTACAAAGTCTTTGATTGATGACGAATTTTCGTCTTCGAAAAAATTATGGATTGAATTGTGCAAATGGGAACTTCTTGTCCGTGTAGAGCCTCAGGCCCACAGTAGATTTGGACTTTGTTACCTGTTACACCCGGGTGTACAAACCCTCACAAAACACAACAGGGGGTCACAATTTTGTTATTGGGCGTGGCCCCCTATTGTGTGTGTGTGTGGGGTCCCCGGGGTGGGGGTGTACTTGGTGTCAATCTCGATGTAAAAATAGTAAAATCTTTGAGATTTTCATCCTAATATGACAAGAAGCTTAGATAGTAGATCGGTGGTTCAGTAGGTTATTTCGATTTTGAAAAATTTTAGCTAATCATCCTCTATAGCTTAAAAAAATAAGAACTTTGTTAAACTTACACACCTTGATACACAATCCTTTCACATGTGCGTGGGTAAATCCCACATACATGTGAGAGAGGGTTGCGTACAAGTAGCATTTTTGAAAAAAAAAAAAAAAGGACTAGTTGAAAATTTTGAAGATAATCATCATGGAGTAAAAGCTCTATCAATAGCAATTTAAAATTGACAAGTGCTATAATAATGATGATTCTCTTGCTTAAGATATTATCTATTAGGGTAATGATTAAGAGCACAAACTATAATTAATTACATCTTGGTAAAAGTTAATTGGGAACACATCAAAAAAAAAAAAAAATTGTTTAGTGGTCAAATGTGGCCCCTTAAAAAAAGATTCATCAAATGTGGTCCCTTAATAGTCTAAGATCCTATGGATGATTGCAGTTGAAATGGCTAACGTTAAGAGTTCTTGAAACCTAGGTACAAAAGTCATGGTCCATGCGGGATTCAATCCACATACGTACTGCCCATTGGGGCCGGGTTAAGCCCCAACGTCGATTTCTTTTATTTCCCTAGCTTGGTGTTCGGGCTCCTCCAACTTTCGTAAATTATGTAAGTGTGGTCTTATAGTTCAGAAGTAGGTCTAATAATCACTTTACTCGAACAGAAGACATAGAGTAATGTATTCGAATAATCATATTCTAGTCTGTATATTTTTGACATCACATTAATAACAAAATTAGAGCAGTAAATCCCTGTTAGACACTTGATAGATCATAAGTCATAATCAATTATTTCATGGAGAAATTACATCTCTCTTAAGAATGACTTGAGTTTTTTAAGAGAAAGGTGAATGATTCGAATCATGGGGGACGCGACAGAAATTCAAGAAGAATAAAAACAAGTTCAATCTTTTTCAGAACGGACAGTACGTAGGAGAATAGTTGGGCATGAGGTTTGGTTCGTTACAAATTACATCTGACTTCAACTTTGAATAATCATTCTAAAACATTACTAGAGTTGCAAGGCCATTGGCTAAGATCAAGTAAAACAAGATACCAAAGAAAATACTAGAATGCAGTAATCACTAGATGATAATTATTTTTTCATATCAGTAATCACGAAAGCTACGAAAGTAGCTAGCCAGGATTACTTGTAAGTCCCCCACCACCAGGTTAGTTTACACATTCCCCACCCCACTAGTGCTGCTACACAAATTACTATAGATTTAGCAATCTCCTTCTCCTTATCCTCTTCTTTCATCCTCGACTTCGATGAACTTTTTTCTTGCCTTGAAATTTCACTGCTTTCACAGAATACCATGATGTCTTTTATGCGTCGCTTCTTATCTTAGTTTGATGACAAAGACCAGAAACAAGAGGGTTTATAAAGTGGTGGGTGGGAAGATTTGATGACAGTTTATCTGCCATTATTTTTTTCCCAATGTGAGTATTGTTCGTATTAGAATGTGCATTTAGTGATTTACTAGGAATTAATGTATGAAGTCGAAACAACCTTTGAAGACTGGACTCTGCAAACACGCATTGGAACAATGCATAAATTTGCAACATTTCATCTAGATTAATGTTATTCAGCACAACCGGTGTCAACAACCAGCCTAGGTGCCAACTGTGTGTTATTAAATGATATATACACTTAAATGCACGATTCATTTAATTGAACTTGTCAAATATGATTACCTAAATCGAGGCTTTAGCACCACTAGTACTAGATAACGTTATTTTTTAATCTATATTAATATTTTCACATTTCATTATGGATCTTGACTACTGGGCTACCAGCATGATTTTGATATATGTGGGACATAATTTGAATATGGAAAAATCCAAAATACAGAAAAATGAATTTTTTTGCCCTTTTATTATAATTGTGCAGTGTCCATATATGATTCGCACGAATGGGCACTTTAATATCTAGTATACGTGGCTGATTAGTTGGTTCATATCTGTCCAATTTAATTAATTCCACTGTCATATAACTTAATTTATCAGTGCTTATTTTGAAGCCATTAAAGGGGTCTGATCAGATCCAATAAAACTAAACTCCAATATATTAATTTTGACCCCAATTATCTCTTGATGGGTGAAAAGAATTTGTTAATCTCGTTCTCCTCCATTAAAGAATTAGATTGCACTCTCAGTATAATTGAAATGATTGAAGCTGTGTAACTAATATTTATATTATCTTGCTTATTGTTGTTACATATTACCCGTCGATCATCTCGAATATATAGAACAAGGTAAAGATGATATTAAATGATATGTAAAATTAAATAAGTCATTAAAAAATGGTTTGAATTAAAACAAATAGCAAATATGATTCATCTTCATCCAATACAAAAATGAACTAGTCTAAGGTGTTAATATATAAATTACAAAAAGAATAATAGAAAAATATCATCGGATCATGATAGAATACAAAAGATGTCGATCTTCAATTCTAAGATTGAATTCTTCGAAATTTTGATATAATTAGCCTTCAATTCCATGTAAAGGCATGATATACTATCTCAAAATTTAGTAATTGGTCCCTTGTTCTTGATAAATTTGATGACATTATTTTGTATGAAGAGGGCAAGAGAGTTTTTTTTTTTTTTTTCAATGTGTAGCACTCGTTCTCTATTTATAAAAGCTAGAAAATATGTCAAAATCGCATTTAATTTGAGTTCAAAAAGAGTTTGAATTGCGAAAGGAAACTAATAATTCACCTATAGAAATGGCCTGCGCGTGTGCCGTAGAGCCAAATGGCTCTTGGGTTGGGGAAATAGGGCACCGCATTTCAGTATTTTGGTCATAACTTTTTCTACAAATATCCAATTGAGATGATTCAAAATACATTGGAAATATAATTCAAAGGGCTAAACTTCTAGAAATACAGTTTTTCAATTTGAACACTTGTATCCAAAAAATGGGTCTTAATTTGAGATTAAAAATTCGGAGCATAACTTTTTCGCCTGAAAATTGATTTGTGAAAATAATTCCATTATATTTCACTCATTTGACCTCCAATTACATCCAATTGATCCTATATAATCTTCAATCATCATTTTGTGGTCCGAATCAACTTTTGAATATTTACGCTTTGGTCCACAAACTTTGTATTTATTTCATTTTGCCCCTTTTTCGTTCATTTCTTCCAATTCCGCCAATTTCCATTGAGTTCAACCTAATAAACATAATTAACACATAATTAAGTTATAATTAAGTTATAATTCATCCAAATCACTATCAAATACTCCGATTTAATTGTCTATAAGTATACAAAATACACTTATCAATAGATTACCAAGTTATGAAGCCTAAAGCGGGTTGTTCCTAGTCAATCACTCTAACTTCGTCTGGATTTTAATAGAAGTAATGTTATATATAATTATCAGTGTTTAATACGAATTTACTCGACGTAATGATTTATGCCCTATTTGGTTCAGTTAAAAATCAAACTAAAATCTAAATCATAACCAACAATTAATTTCAATCACATATATTATGAAATTGACAACTTTTCTATCACATATTTCATTAACTTTTAT